TAAGAGTGGGCTTAGAAGCAGGCATTCTCTGTAGACCTCCCCTCCTATGGAACAGCTTGTTCCTGAAGGTGAAAGTAGCCCCTTCCCTCATCTTTTGAAAACTTATTGTTTTAGACTGGAGACTAGAATTTTGTTTTTATGTGTGAAATGGAACACCATGGAATTGTACTTTTACCTGTAATTATTTTTTGTACTATTTGTTCTACCATTATACAATAACACACTTGTTATTGTATTGTTTCTAATGGTTCTATTGCATATACTTAACTATAAATTGCTTAGAGTCCATCAAGACTGAAGTGGTATAAAAGCAATATAAATAAGTAAACAATTGTCTTGATTGCTTATTTATCGAGAGCAGTGTTTCTCAACCTTAGCAACTTTAAAATATGTGGACTTCAACTCCCAGAGTTCCCCAGCCAGCATGCTGATCTAGAGGGATGTGGGTGTTCTCCTTTGGTAGGGGGCTTCAAGGAGAGATTAAGGTCACTGTTAAGGAAAGGCCTCCATGTACTGTGCGAGAGTCCTTTTGTTAGGCCCAAACTAATTCTATTGCTCTAGCTCAGCCATTGAAAAAGCTTCATGAATTAAAAAGAACTGAAACATATTGGAGATTTCATTTTTATCCTATAAAGATTCCAGGTCTTTTCCAATACTCTCCTTATGATGGCCCTTTGAAAGCTGACTGAATTCAAAGATAATGTGAGTTACCTTTGGGCAGATCAGTAGACATTTTAGAGGCAGGAACTCTTTTGTGAATTGTTGAGATAATCTATGCACCATACCCACTTGGGGCTTTGTCCATCGCAAAAAAAAAAAAAAAAAATCTGGCATATTCACTGCCATAGCCATCCATTCACCATCCCTTATCTGTTGTATCTGAACACCAAATACAAATCTATTATATTTGGGACACAAAGATTGAATCTGCATGACTTGTTTATCTATGGTTTATGGCATTAACCCCATTTTGTACTTTGTGCTGACATTTAACTACCACAGAGGCCAAGTTTGCATAACACTCCAGGCTCAAATGTACTTGGCATATTGTGCTTCAGCGTGCCACGCTTACCCAACCATCTGATAGAAGAGCACAAGGCAGCCATTTCACTGTGCCTTGAATTTCAGATCAATAGAGAATTATTACCTAGGTGCATTTATATTAATTCTTTGAGATTTAAAATACGATTTTCAAAAGGATAGCCCACCACACAAAACATTGGAATGATTTCAGGTCTTGGTAACCTTTTAATCTGTAGTGAGTAAGTATTGAAATCTCCATAGGTGTTTGCTAGAACTTTATACCTAGCGTGGGGGTTTTAAAAGGAAATGCAGTTAGTCTCAACTTTGGAAGAGTGAAACTGTTAATTTTGTCTTCTCTCAGTCTTCCAGTCTGTTAAATGCATCACATTCAGTTCATCAAATCTGATTTTTAAAAAAACTCAAAATTTGAATGCACTTTGATACGTATTTTACCAAATACAGTTTTTTGTTAAGTATATACCATTTTTACAAATATTTTCCCTAAATATAAGGAATACATTATTTTCATGAACATATGCATTTCGTATTTTTTCTAACATGCATTTCACTGTCCATATTTACAGGATGCAGTCAGAAGAATACGTTTCTTCCCATTTGGCTCCTTAGAACTGAGGGGTGGGGGGAGACCAATGTCCAAGGTGGTTTTTTTTTTTAATGATGCTTTGGATGCCTTACACACCTCTTTCATCCCTTAACAATCCCCTCAGTTCCTGAAAACATAAAAGGGTTCAAATGTGTTAGGATGTTCTCATGGGAAGAAATGCACCTCATTTCGTTTCATCCTCATTCATCTAGATGGGCTTTGAGGTCCACAAGCAGGTAATGGAGAACTGCACATGCAAATTGCCTATCCCAGGTCTGTATGGAGGAGATGCTTCAGGCATCTGAGTGACCAAAAGTATTTCTGAAGCCTGGTTAAAACTGGTATCTAAGACTATAATCTTTCTGTCATTGCCAAGCACATGCCAATTTGGATTTCCCACAGTGAGGATCTTACTTCTTCTGGAGCAGAGGTTGGGAGCCGTGCTTTCCAGATCTTGGGGAACTGCGGTCTCCAGCATCCCTCATCATTGGTCAGACTTTCCTGGGAGCTCAATTCAGTAACAAATGGGAAGATGAAAGCTCCCCACCCAGACAATAAAAGATTGGAAACCAGAAGTGCCATTCCCCTTACTTGGTGTCCTTAGAAGGCAGAAGTCTCTCAACCTTAGCCAAGGCTTTTAAAAACTTTCTTCTGGTTTCTCAACCCATATCCTGTATCTTGCAAGGAAAGCTGATGCCCAGAACAATCCTGCTTGGCATGCAGAGCGGGGAGCCACGATGGACGAACCACTAACTTCCCAGACCTGCCCTGTTTACCCAGACAGGGCAGAAGATGGGGATAATAGCATTTGGGAGGGAGGTCCTTTTGCAACAATATATATGTGGTTTTGTTTTGGTTTTCTCTGTTTTTGTTTAACTGCCTTTCAATTCTTCCAATGGGTGGGAAGTAAATGATGCCATTACTAAAATACATAGAGTTTGTATTTTGTGTATGCATCCACATACACGCATGTGTGTACGTGTCAGTCAAACAGGATTTTGCTCTAAAATTTTCTTTGTTCTGCCCCCTTTTTTGTCCTCTTCACTGTAGCAACGGCAGGCCAATTCTGTTCTTCTGTAGAAGAACTGCAAAATCTTTGGGGCCCTGAGCTGCCCCGATCAAGGCCACGAAACGACACTTTTACAAAAGTAACATAAATGACGCCAGGCATACTCTGTCGCTCTCTCAGCAGTGCCCTTCCGTCACGAACAGATACTTTCCTCTGATATCCTGGGGCAGAATATTACCTACATTAGATATTTTTCCAAAGTTTTCCAGACAAAGATATATCCACCCTTGATTTGTCAATCAAGAAGAATGAGATAGTCTCCATGATTTGGTAAAATATATTTTATTTCTTCAAATAGTATGAATCAGAATTCCATCTTCCTAAAAACCTCTGTGTAAAATTAATTTGTGTTGTACATACCACAAAATATTCAATTTACAGTTTTTGCTTGTCATTTGTTTCCTTTTACAAGTGTACCATTCTAAGCCATAACTTGTTATAGCAAACTCAAAAATATTGCTAATATCAGGACATACTGCAGTGCTGAATGGAACTCAGCCATAAATTAATGTTATAGGGTGAAAAGACATCTAACCACACCTCCAGGTTTTGATGTATATGCTCTTGCGAATGGAACAAAAATTAGCAATATTTTATGAAGGCTATTATCTATGCAGTTCAAACATCATATCATACATGACCCTCATAGCCACTGTAATATTTAGGTAAGGCCTCTTCAGTTAATTGGTTTCAGAAGGTTTCCATTGAGTGGGCTGTTCATCCATGATTAGTAGTTCAACGTTTTAGCAGTGAATTGATGGCAATATCATCGCTCAAAAAACACACACACAGAAAACAAGGTATATGGATACCATACCTACTATGCTTTGTGCAGCTAGGGAAGTATCCTTAACCCATTCCAAGAAGAGATATGAAAGCCTGAGCATTTGCTCAGCAGTCCAATCCAAAAAAAGCAAAAGATTTTGAAATGGAAAACATAAGGCCCCTAGAAATTAAATATCACTCCAACGTTCCTGAACAAAGGATGTTGCTTGGATTGACTATATGAGAAAGCCATGTGGCTATTAAAGACATATCAGAGTTAAATGGAAGTGTATTTCGGTGGCCATATAGGCTGCATCTTCTAATGAGTCCCAATGAAGATGGGTCCAAATGTCTTCTTGCCTGTAGTGCAGTATTCCGTCAGATGATATAGTAAATTCCTCAAGATCAAGGATGCCCAATGTAAAGGATGAATATTTACAGAAAAATCTACACCCTTGGCCAGTGTGTATAGGTGTGTTTGCATATGTATTGGTGTGGGTATACATGCATACCTCTGAGGAATCCCCCAGATTAATTTTCTCGCTGAGTCACTCACTATATCCAATTATTTCTCAAGATAAGAATAAATCTGATAATCCCACCCAATCTAATCCATATTTGTCTTGGGGACTTTAAAAACTTATTTTGACTCTGTACAGTAATGCACCCAGTCACGCACATATAGAGAACAAAACTTTTGATGATGTAAGCAGTGTCAAATCCTCTCAATCTGCAATGGGCTTTGGCTCACAGAAGGGGCCACCCTGAAGAAACTCACTCTGACATTCATCGTAGGACAGCGCTGTTGGGTATATACACAAAAGATAGCTGAAGGGTTTGTGGAATTATTTGGTGAGGTTGGGATAAACTATACTTCCTGAATATCCATCCATCTCCAGTGCCTTTTTTGGCAAGTTTTGTAAAGTGTGCACTCATCTCTGATCTATACCATTTAGCAAGATGTATTAAATTGAATTAACTTCAAATAGTACTGTGTTTTTGTGCTTATATTTAAACCACTTTTGTGAGGGAAGGAAGCCCCATATGGGTTGAATGTGACAATGAGCTAAAGGCATTAACTTGTTTCATGGGATAGGACACCACTTGCAGAATGATCAGTCATTGTGAGAAATCTAACAATTAAAGTGGGATTCAGAGAACAAACTGAGGACTCACGTTCCTCTTCTGTAACAGCAGTTTGAAAACTAAGCTTTAAAAAAATTAAATACTGTATCGTTTGCACTGTATCTCCCAAGTAAGCACTTCACATTTCTTCAGCAGGAAGAAGTTAAAGCTGGACAAAATCTGCATCGTTCCCCATCCAAAAAGCGAGAGATCAGAGAAACTGTAGATATTCACATAGGAACTCTATGGTGTTGCAAAGTTTCTGTAGAGAGGGAGAATGAGAATATCTGATCAATGAAGATGGGGAACAGGAGGCAGCAACAGCTCCGTAGCTGGACAGTGTTTCCTTCTGTGCGTACGCCACTTCCAGCCATGAAGGCAACTGACTCAGGCTTCATTTTTTTTTTTTTTACTTTCCAGGCTGTTTCCAAGTCAACAAAATACAAATGTCTGTGGATTGACCTAGGAAGGAAGAAAGCCAGAGATGCAATATGAAGGGCCGTGTACAAAATTGTTTTGACATGCCTAGTACCCGTATCGGAAAAAAAAAAGAATAATAATTATAATTATAATAAAGATTGTGCTTTTCTCATTGTCTCTTAACCATCAGCTCCCCCTGCCCCCCTTTTTATTTTTAATATTAAAGTTCTCCTGGGAAAATACCTGGAAGCACTTTCCAGCACAAGCTGAACCCAGGCCACAAAGAGCCTGGCAGGACTCAGCATGGTGGAATGTTCAAAACAAACAAGAGCACAACTATGAGCTACAGTGGGGTTAGGCAGCTTAGTGAATTAATTGCTTAGGAATTAAAAAATAAATTATTATAAAATAGATTTCTGTACATTTTACATATAGACCTATCTACATATGTAGGGGGAAAGCAAGCTGAAAGACAGGATCGACTCTTGCAAGTGCCGTCAATCCCAGCCGAAGTCATGGCCAGTCATCTGGTAGAACTTCATGTTGAACGGCCGATAGAATTCTCGCAGCCTCCGCACTACTTTCTGGTCAATGTTGGGGTGGGTCCGTCCTTTCGTTTTGCCCAGGCAGTGGGGCTTGCTGCTGCCTTCGGCCTTTTTCAGGCATGGGAACCCCTTGGTTTTGTTGAAGTAGAAATGTTTGTCTGTGATGATCCTTTTGAGGCCCAGAAAGTCCTGGACCCGGCCCAACTCGCCTGCTGGATCACTGATCAGTCTCTCCCCACTGACAAAAAGGATTTGCCCAAGGGGGAAGTACAGGAGCCAATTTTCCAGGTGCTTGGCATAAATGCCAATCTGGATGGCACTCCAGGAGGTATCGATCAGGCCCGTAGTTCTGTTTTTGAAGGTCAGGCTCTCAAAGGTGGGGATGTCTGGCTTCTTGGAAAGGGTTTGTGTGTAGTCAGAAATGGCTCGGGTGACCGGGTCTCTCACCACCACGATGAGCTTGGTGTCCTTCGACATAGAGGAGATGCGAGCTGGTGCTTCCTTAGTGACAAAGTAGCTGGGAGTCTTCTCCATGGTGATCTGGCCATCAAGAGTTCTGGGCATCAAATCCCTGAAGAGAGAGAGAAAGGAATTAGCAGACTGATGAGAAAAATAAGAGGATTGGTTCAAAAGTTTGTTTGTTTTTTACTATTCCTACCACTGGCTGCTTAGCCAATTCCTGCTGCTGACCGTTTGGCAACAAAGCAAATTCACAGGGCCCCAAAGTCAAACGATATCCAAACGTATATGGTACAAAGTGAATTGGCTGGAATAACTGACAAGATTCAAACTGATGGATATCTGATTAATTTGAAATATACCACTAAGTTGGGAAGGGAAAAGTATGCAAGCCAAAAGTATGTTAAAAATGAAGCATTTAAGAATTACATCGACAAATGGGATATTAGATCTCACCGGGCCAATAAATGCAGCTTCTAATAGGAAAGTCCCATTTAGGGAAGGTGGGATATGGATGGGCCTCTCTCTTTCTGTCCTATTTCAGATCAGGACCACCATTCCTTTGGCCAGTCTGCTCTTGTTCTCTATATCAAGAAGCTACAAGCTATTAAAACTTTGTATGGATCAGAAATTGTTCACCAAAGAAATGCACACATGAATGCTCATACAAACTTATACTTCCCTATGCTATTTATTACTAATGGTTATCATTTTATTATTTTACTGATTTAATGTATAAAATTGTCTTGTATTCCACATAGAGAACTCAGACTCCTGAACAGGTTAGAAATACAATAAGTATTCAATGCTGTTGACAAGTAGAAAAATACCTTGCTCTCATCCAAGTAAAAAAGATTAAATGGGCCAACTAATCTGACCTAACCGTAGGATGAAATATCCCTGTGACATTCCAGATTTCCTACACAAAGGAAATAATAACAAAAAGTAACCAAACAGGTGACTTATCATCTGGAAATTTACAACCATTGCTATGGGTTCTGATCAATCTTTTCAGCCTGTGTTGCTGTCCAGAAGTCTAGGTTGCAACATTCAATAACCTGGAGGATACCAAGTTGAGGAAGCCTGAAATATGTCTTCATTCATTTTAAGAGGCCGATGTGTAGCAAATTTTTGGGTTGCTTTCTGTACTACTTTGTGTAATGCAAGAGGCTTCTATATATATTCTTAAATTTTGAAGATGTTAACTATATTTTTTTTAACCAAGCAATTGGTTAAAACATTAATTTTTAACCAAATAGTTACCTGTGAATTGAAAGAGGAGGCCTACATTTGCAGAGAAGCATAAATGATGCTGTTGAAAGCAAATGAAGAGCTGGAGATGCAAAGAACTGCAGACATCACCGCTGAGGAGTCTGGAGGCCTTTGGAGATTAGCTTTGGGAGGGGCTGCTTCCCTACTGAATTTTAATCCTTTTTGTGAGGACTAAACACATCTGGAAATTTACAACCATTGCTATGGGTTCTGATCAATCTTGTGCTCTCTCTCATTTTTGTTCCTGTTTCATTCCCTATTCTATGGCCTTTTCTTCTCTCTTCCTCTCCATCCAGTTTTGTTTCCTGCTTCTGCTCTCCCAGTGGCAATTATCCCATCTCCATTGTCCCTCCCTCCCTCCCTCCCTCCGTCCATCCGTCCATCCGTCCATCCATCCATCCACATGGCTGCCTATCTCACATTCATGACTCTGTGCAGCTAATAACAGTTAAAAACATCATAAAACTATAAAAACAACACAGGCATAATCAGCAGCTGAGCTACACAACAGAACCACCAACATTTCTGCCATTTGTGCTAGAAGGAAGGAAATACATGTGTGTGCATTTATGAGTCTCTCTCTGTATATGAGAGAATGGCTGGTATATGTTGTTTTTTTAAAATTTATTTATTTATTTATTTACTCACTCCCCTTGAGTCAGTTTTGACTCCTGGCAGTCTTTTTTTGGCAAGATTTCAGAAGTGGTTTGCTCTTGCCTACTTCCTAGGACTGAGAGAGAGTGACTAGCCAGCTTTCATGCCTCAGGTGGGACTAGAACTCACAGCCTCCTGGTTTCTAGCTTCATGTTTTAATATTATACTTTATTTTTACAGGAAATTTATCATAGTTAAAAATTCAGGTTTTGTTGTTGTTGTTGTTCTGATTCTACCCTTTTCTGAAATGTGGCTTCAGGGATGGATGGATAGATAGGCAGGCAAACACAGACATAGACACAAACATATATATGTGTGTATGTGTATGTGTATATGCTTGATTATATACATAGATGTGACGTACACTTTTATCAGGAAAGGAGAAATTTTCAGGATTAGTTTCAGCCAAGTTGCCATTCTTGGAGTGACGTAGTATAGAAGTAGGACATTGCACAAGTTTTTTTTTCCAGTATGTATGCATACATATATAGTACATACATACACATATGCCATTTACTCTTCCTTTGAGGAATTTTGATCAGCCTCTTCCCTAAACCAGGGCCTTCCAATTGTCAACAGCTGACATGCATCATGTTTTAGGTTCGAAGTAAGTAATCTGCAACCCTAGGCCCACAAGTGGTTCTCAGCCTCATTGTATGTACCTTCAGAATCCCAAACTCTGTGCCATTCAAAAATACTCTTGCAAAAGTGGTAGGGCCTTGCCAGGCCAGCTTGTGTGTGAGAAGGATGAGGGAGGGAGGGAGGGAGGAAGGGAGGAAGGAAGGAAGGGAGGAAGGAAGGAAGGAAGGACCAACATGAGTCAGAATGGTTAGCCTCACCCACCTTGCCTCCTGTTTCTGATACTTAATTCAGTTCTGCTTATATCACTGGCATACATCAATCCTCCAAAACATTGTCATCTCTGGTTTTGCTGGGTGATCAGCTGGACCAGACTCTCTTCAAATGGTTAAAATGGTATATGAGCGTGGCCATAGATAAAGAAGCACCAATGCTAACTGGGCAATGTTCTGGCAGGAGAAGCAGGACTATCCTACAGACCCAATGGAACCACCTCAGGCCAAGACAAGTAACAGGCCATGTGGTTTAAGGTTTCCTCCACAAGATGCTGGCATAAGTGCAGCAATGTACTTAGCCTGCCAATGGATTAGTCTGCTTTGCCCATTACCTACTTAGTCTTCATAACATTAGTATCCTGCTCAGACAGTTCTAATCCCCAAAGTTCTTTAGTCTAAACACACAGAAAACTTGAGTGCAGGAAGCAAGTTCCTCAAGAAAAATGCCACCTTGTTCTGATGTGAACAACAGTTCAGTGAGACAGATAAGGCACCAAGGCAGATGGCAGGTGGCCACGTGGTAATCCAATCACAGAAAGCCTAATGCCTTTTGTGACAGCTTTTTGTCTGCCCAGAGGGATTCTCCTCTAATCTGTTGACACTTCTCAATAAAGGAAATTGAGGGGGAAGGGCTTTGCTAAGGAAGAGGGCAGAGGATGAGGAGAAGTGCTCTGCATGCTGTGGCTACATCAGGCTTACAACAACAAGATGGCATATATTGACAGCCACACTCCTGAGCTTCTACTGTAGAGCCTAAAACTGTAGCAAGTGGGATGCAGGGATAATGATGGCCTTTCTTGCAGAAAATCCAGGGTGTACAGAAACACATTCAAGTCAACAGCAGATAAAGAACAGGATAGAAGGGAGGATCTGATATCTTCAAAAAATGCATGGGCCATTTTCTGTTTTCCATTTTTTTAAGGAAACTGCTGCCATAAGATGTGGCCACTTCTTTGTCTGAGAAACCCACCCATCCTATTTTGCTTTTGAGGTTTCTCAAATGTTAGTCAGCCATTGGCCAATCCCCTGCTGCCTTATTCAGTTTCACAGTGAAGAAAATGATAGGATCTTCTCCACCCAATGAATAAAATGAGGAATAAGATGTAGAACTTAACAGTTGTGAAAAGAAGGCCAAAAGTTCCATCATTGGCTCCGAGCTAGAAGAGTGCAAAAATATTTTGAAACTGAAATGTTCTAACCTCAGAAGAGGTTGTTCAACCTGTTCCAAGGTCAGACCATTTCCAGAATATTCAGAAAGACTTGTTCCTGTGTTCATCCTTGAAATGTCTTGCACATCTATTCCCAGCAGCTTTGAATTAAAGTGTCATTGGTTGCTTCTAAGATATAATGGAAAGTTTTCAGTTATTCCAAAAATGCAAGGAGTATATTGAAGTGGAGTCAGAAAACTGCCAAAAAATAATTTAAGAAGCAGTCTTGAAAATCAACTGGCACAGCAGTCATAAACTTGGAAGAAGGATGGCAGTCCATGTTGATGGAACCACATATTATAGAGGAAAGAGGGAATGGCCTTGAGGGACAGGAGGAAGAGCTCCTTTCAAGACAACAGTCATATAAAAGAGAACTGAGTCTGGGGCGAGAATGTGACTTGAGTAAACATCTCAGACAAGGCTCTCCCTTGTTCTCAGGAAAATAAAGGGAGGGAGGGGGAAGTGCATCCAGACTTGCAAGATTCTATTACTATACAATAGTAATATTGTACTATACTATACTATAGTACATTATTACTGTACAACGGTATATAATAAAAGTAGTCTTGACCTACATGACACTAGATTCCGAGTCTGACTACCTTGAAGGGCTGACACTATCCCTAGTCTTGCTGGTTTGCTGTATTCAGATATTTTTGTTTTGCCCTCCCATGGATCCAGGGGTAGGAAAATAGCTCTGCCAAAATCAGGACTGTCAGAGTTGAAGATATTTTCAAGGAATAAGGTGGCCTTAAAACCTGCAGAACAAGGCTATCCATGACAAACTCCTAAAGTACCCCATTTTGCCCAACTGGATGTCTACATTTGCTTAACTTCAGGCAGTTTTTGACCAGCTGTATAATCACAGCCTACTTATTGCCTTTTACATAAGTGTATCAAGGATACATTGACATGAAGCAAATCCCACAATGACAGCAGCATTCAACATTCTTTCAGGCAGAGAATAATGGCTGCCAGGTACTAGCCAAAACCGCAGTGCAAACATCTCCAACATCATTATCATAATGCAGATAATAATCATTTACATGTAATACAGCTAAATGCTTTATTCACTTTCAAGTAATTCATTTTCATTTTATTCTTGGTTATGCGACAAGCAATTA